ACTCAACATATCACAAAATGATGTACAGAGTGATTCACAAGTCGTGACCAAAAATGGAACATCATACACAGGACCACATTTTAAGGGGTCTTCTATGTAAGATTTTTTTCTAGAGGGGTTCATTAAAAAGATACGGGATGTTGACGTTTAATAAAAACATTTTTTTTAATATCATCAAAACCGTCAACTGAAATGAACTAAAATTTGGTATGTGGATTTACCTAGGTATTGTCCACATTCAAAAGTCTTTACTTAACATTCACGTACATCAGTGGCGGCGATTCAGGGGATTAGTGGCAATATTTTTCCAAATAAAAATAGTACGCCACTGTTATTTTCAATTTGCTACAAATAATTACTCTTGTGTTTTTCCTTAGAGTGCACTTTTTTCGTTAAAATAAAAATAAGACAAATTAGATCATTCATGAAGAGCCGAGATACAATTAGCTTCAAAATAAAAAAGGAGGCCTTGATACCTACTTGACGTTTCTTGAGAAATACTTTGTCAACGTTATATGTTACACAGTAGTTATCGTTACTACTACGATTTTTTTTTGTAAAAGTCAAGTCAAAAGTTTATTTTTTTCTATGTTTGAGTACGCCGATGTTATTTTTGTGTACGGGTTCTGTAATGGAAATGCTTTAGCCACTTTTCGGGAGTATCAAGGTAGATTTTCAGACGTCAATCACCCCCAAAGGATTTTACTAATTTCTTTTTTTTATTATTACGAAAAGATTGCACTCTAGGCAAAAGCAAAAATTGCGCATTTCGAAAAAAATAGTGGCGTACTATTTTTATTTGGAAAAATAATGCACCTTATCCCCTGTATCTCCGCCTCTGGTGCACGTTAATTTTAAGTAAAGACTTTTGAATATGGATAATACTTAGGTAAATTCACAAATTCCAAAGTTTAGTTTATTCCAGTTGACGGTTTTGAAGATATTAAAAAAGATGTTCAAAACCCCGTATCTATTTAATGAAGCCCTCGAGGAAAAAATGTTACATACCTGTAGAAGATCCCCCTTAAAATGCGGTCCTGAGTATGATGTTTCATTTTTGGTCACGACTTGTGAATCAACCTGTATATTATGAATTTATAATACAAATATCCGAGAAATCTCGCTTGTACTCTTCCAATCATCTCGATATGGTTCATTCTTTGTGGTGACCAAATATTTGAAGCGTATTCTAAATTAAGTTCCATTAGAGTGTTGTACAAAGTTATTATTGTATTTATATCCTTAAAACATGTTGTATTCCTAATTATGAAGCCAAAAAGCTTCTACGATTCATTTACAATATTTTCATAATGCTGGACCAGCAACTCGTGCCAGAGATATTCCAGCATAAACATACGAAAGTCAACTCAACCTAAAAGTGACCTTTCTAAGGAACATGGTCACGACCAACACCTTCCTACAAGATGTTTCAACGAAATATTTCTTCTAGTATACTGATTCTCCGAGTTTTTGGTCTTAAAGACTTTGCACACTCACGTGAGAATCTCGCAAGAAAGCGAGAAAAACATGAGAAATGTGACTGTGGAACCGATTTTCATAATCTTCGCAGGAGGTTCTCGGCTTGTTCCCCGATTTTTGTCGGCTTTTTTGGTTTGACAAAAGAGCTGAGAACACGAGAACAGACGAGAACTTGTATTGACTCCACACTTGCATGTTTCTCAGTGGCCGATTAGAAGATTTGTGCATGGTATTTATTCACTACTGAGGATCAATATGAGTCGGATTTGGACGAATAAACTAGAATTGCCATTCCTAGAATATTTTCAAGCAGAACCGATTTTGTGAAATACAAATTTAAAAGAATATAAAAACTAAAAGCCCACGATGCGTGGAGACATATTAGTACCTTGATGGAATTACCCATTGAGGAATTAAAAAGCAAAAATTCGTTATTAGCCAGCTACAGAGGGTATAAAAATCAAATCAAAAAATCGAAAAAATCTGGTGCTGGTGTCGACAACGTTTAATTCTGCGTCCATTGTCATCAACCACGAGAACTGTTTTGAGAACCTTGCGAGTGTGGACCCAAAGAAGTTCACGCCGAGATTTTCGCTTAGATTCTTGCCGAGATTCTCGCGTGAGTGTGGAGCAGCTTTTAGAACTCGTTAAAGCAAGAAATGTATCATAGGGTTTTTAGATAAATCGACTGGCACCCATTTCCCGTATGTTTTGTGCCTGGTCCTTTTAAGTGTTTTGTGATGTTAGATCCCTTGGCGCAGAGACTATGACCACTACAGAGTTTTGCCATTCGGCAAGCTAGTTTTAATTTGACGGAATTATGCTCAAATGAAACCACATTGCTCTTTACTGACGTTTTGACGGCCTTTTTCAAAGTGCCGGTCAATGACAATCTGATTGTGGTGGCCGAAACGTCAATAAATAGCAATTTCAACAACCGTGGTTGCTTTGGAGTACTATCAACGTGAAAACCACATTATATATTTCAGACGTTACATTAGCTTTAATCCAATTGGTGAGTAGTTAATCTCTGTACTACTCATTGAAGTTCCATTTTTTCTTTCCGCAGGATTTTTGTGAAAATTCTGATGACCCAACAGCATCTTATTATTTTTGCTATATCAGTAATCGGAAATTAAGTATATAACCTTTGATTTACAAGTCTATTAATAAAATTAACATGGCTAAAAGCATACTTATCATCTATTAATTAGTAACATTTCTCTGAAAAATATTTTGGAACCTATTTATTATAATTGTTTGAATATATTTTTCTTCAGTATATTTTCGGTATTTAAATATGGAATAGTGATCTGATAATTCCGCCCAAACAAGAAACAATTTCCTCACATAATTATCTCGTGGTCATTTTGAATGGAATTAAAGCTTAAACCACATCCCTTCTTTAAGATAAATACGCGTTAATAATGTCGGTTGCCAATTAAAATAAGAATGTCATTCAACGTTGCTAGACGACGTGTCGATCTATTGACTTGCAGATGACAGCACTTTGCGTTCAAGTATTGAGAGTGTCAGACCGATCGCTAGGCGGTGAAAAGACCTTCAAACTCAGGTATGCCGCAGCTGTTACGTTATTTAACAGCTGGTGAAGGACAAGATCTTCCTTTGTAGCCAATAATCAGGTTTACTATCCGGAAGGATCGGGATCTTAAGTCCTGAAAAATACTCATATTTCAATTTAATCTCATATATATATGAGATTTTCGCATCTAGATAATATATCAGAACGTATGTATTTTAAACATTCACCAACATTTATCTTTTATTTTATGACATGTTTCTTAAAAAGGACAAAGTTCAGAGTTTTGGCATGTTTGTCCAAAATTCACCCATTTTCGAATATTTAGCTTTCTGCTTTACATCTATAATAAAACATACTGAGACACAAAATATATATATAGAAGTGTGGCTCTACTATGCTCACATTAAAAACAATACAGCGCAAAGCGCCATCTATCACACCAGAATCTACCACTGCGGAAAGCGAATAGCTGCTATTAGTTGGAACTATTAGGGATATCACTTCACTTGTAATAGCCCTGCCACCACTTGACCTTTAGATGGCTGGCGTTTCTGGCTACAATTAAACAAGCCAAGCACGATATTTTCGTCCGTCCGACTAAAAAGATAGCCCAACCATGGACGTCTGTTTCGTACTTCTTGGCTACTCATCAGCATGGTCAAGGCTTGGTATCTTATGTTTTCACAAATGAACGAAAGCATCGCAACTATTCTCTATACCAGAAGCCTGGTCTACCGAAATAAGACATCGCTGCTTTACAATATTATATAATTAGGATTTCAATACGACGTTTCATCTCTTGACCTCAAGCACCAACTTTACTTTTTCTTATTAATGCTATGCTAGATTCTGGCACAGATGAACAGAGATTTTTGAGAGATTGAGATTGTCAAACCTTAGTTATTCGAGAAAAAATCCTTGAGATTATCAGATTGTCGTCTGTTTCGTATACCAGAGCAGTCCTGAAACTGAACATAGTAACAGAGTTTGGAAGACTGAGAAGAACGGAAATGAATCGAGCAGTGAAAAGTGTGCAGAGAAGTATCAGGATTTGCCTACAAAATAACGGACAACAATTTGAACATCTATGATTTACCTCTGCTTATTTCTGATTGTTATGATACTGTTATTATGTTTCACCATACCTCTTTATTTCCTTATAATTTCTATCCAACAACATATTCATTGCCAACCAAGGAAACACACCGCTGAATTAAGGACTGAAAAGTCCGTTTAAATATACAAAATTCCATTATAGCGTCCATACGAAAAACAGTTGGTGATGGAAGTGAAGGAAGAAACCTCTCGAATTAAAAATTTGACAACGCCATCTTGTCGAGGAGAAAAAGTGACGAGAACATTTAATCTACTTTAAAATCCCATCTCAAATAAAGCCAGGAAAAATAAAACTGATGGGATAAATCTGGTATATGATATAAATAACTATCTGATAATTTCAAGGCCTATCTAGGACATTGTTTTTTTAAATAATAAAAGTTTGTCAGCGTCAATTAATGACATATTATACATTTTTGGAATCATAATTAGAAACTCTATTCATCTCTGCAAAAATCCAATACGGCGTTCATAACAAAAATAAAGTGGATACTGGCGGGCAAAAGACGAAATGCCATATTGAAATTCTCATTATGCGCTCTTGTAAAGGAGAAAAAGTGGCAGTATTGATGGGCAATTTATTTTGAAATTCCACTACAAATAAAATCACGAAAGATGAAACGATTTTGGGAAAATTCTAGTTTTCCGTCTCTCTCCGGAAGTACTTGATTTTCGAAACTTTCTAAGCGGCATTTTGTTAATTACCTGAATACGCAACTTTGCCCCCATTTATGCGACTGCATAACTCTCACAGAATTTGAAACAGCCAGTATGCTTTTATGAGAAATATATTTTCTAGTACCATCCCCATTTCCGCCAGAAAGAAATGTGTAGGAGTCTTCAAAAATTATTATGATTGCCACAAAAGACTACCTTTTTCTTAAATATTTCAGTCGGAATTTGATACATCCATAGTTTCTACCGCAGTGACTATTTTCGCTTATCATTGTTAATGCCTTCTTATACAACAGAAGAACCTGGTAAATCCATAATTCTGCTATCCACCTATAGCCAGATTCCGTTGCTATTAGGTGTTATACGTACGACTATTCGACGGCGGTAGGTGAGAAATTTCTCCTCCGGCTGCAGCATTGGTAAGACCTTAAATACAATAAATGATAATGATACTTGTTTATCTAAAATAAATAATACATTTCTACTATACAAAAAAACATCTTGAGGCACAAATAAATGCAGTACCCGCAAGACAACCCTTGTTCGCGGGAGCAAAAATTAAGAATAGTGAAGCTTGCTACTTGTAGTTCGACTGAAATTACAGATATTCCGATCTAGAACATTTTGATAACTAGAGAGAGAGTCTCTCCAGGATCACCACTCCATTAATCATACATTATACAAAATACGATCAACCTTTGACCGGCACCATGTGTTGATAGTTATAAGAAAGCATGAATAAGGCATTTTCCCTGGTAATCATAATTCAGATATCGGATAGTTATAGTGTATCGTATTCAGATTATTCATACACATATGATAACATCCGGATATTAGTCAAGCTACTAGTTTCTCTTTCAATTTCTACGATGTCAATTTCATTAATCATTTTTCGCTCAGTATGTGTCGAGTAGGTACGGTGGATGGAACAGCGACACGTTCGATGCCATTTTGTAAGTACAAGTCGTTAAACACAGTTGTATGCAACTATCTAGTGCTATCACAATATTTGTCTCATAGAATAATTCTTCCAGTGACAATCTATGAAAAATAGCTAAATCTGTGTTTTGAAAGCATACACCGTTTATTTCAGGCATCATTTACACGTTCAAAGGCTGTAGTCGAAAAAGCAATTATCAAACACTTTACATACCTCTGAGATTTGAAAAATGGATTCTAAAACCGGCACAGGTATCATGTAAAAAACCTACAAAACGTCAAAAAAAAAACCTGTAGGATGTCAACTTGCAGACTAGGTAGTTTTTAGGGCACAAACAGTCGTTCCACGTTTGCTCACTAGGATCGTTGTGAACGTCCATCTATGAAGGAATCACTCAACTAAACTACGCATTATTGGTTGCATAGCTTTGTGATTATGTGTATTGGTCTGCATGTGTATAAAATCAGTGATATTTGCTGTGTGAAAAAATAATTACTGAATATGCCGAATATGACGGGTTATTTATATGTTGTGCTTTCTGAAGAGAGGTTATGTTCAAAGTTATAAATTACGAAAATCTGAGGAGAATTACGGGAATCACCGGGCCCGCGTTGTGTGTAATTACTGTTAGCATGTATATGGCTTGTAATTCGATCGTGTACAGTGAATATAATTATATCTCATATTTGAAATTCAGCAATTTTGTATATGTAATTTCCAGAATGGATAAGAAAACTGGCTGCGCAACTAATTTCTAGCTTTGAATCTCAATTAAGTGTATTTGAGACAAGAACCCTATGTAATTATCATCAACACATACAACTTACTGCTTAGACCTCCAGTAATGCCATCTCAGAAGCAGATTTTACATCACATCAGAGCCAAGGATTGATAACAAGCCTCATGACGTTTACGCAACACGTTCAACTAAGTGATAAGTCAACGTCTTGGCGAAAAACCAACATAATGTCAAAAAAAAAACAGCATAATGTCACAAAAAAATCGGCATAATGTCACTTTTCAAGATACGTGATACCCGTGCGGACCTTTGGTCACTACGGCGTGATAGATACTTAAGCTACTATTTACACTTGGTGATGAAGGAGTGTTAGGGAGCTATATCTCGATCGTATCTTGGCAATATTGTCTGCAATATATAGACACATGAATGTTAGAGGCTACAAAATTAGGAAAGAATGTCTGACGAAGTTGACCACAATGCATACATGAAAATGTCGGAAATGTCAAACAGAAATCAATATAGCGGGGCCATACTAAAAATATTGCCGTATGTTGTTAGCTGCTATATTGCAACTAGATAGTGTAATAAAAATATTGCCCGTTTAGACGCGGCATCACATTACTAAATGCAGTTTGTCTAACCTCCCCCTCTATCACAAGATAATTTTAAGTTGAGGCAAAATCAGCAATTATTATGAACCATAGGTCACACGATCTAAACACTATGTAACAAATAAACATCGCATTATCGGCACTTTTCATATTTGCCATTCATTTGTTTGAAGGACGATAGCGGCGCCCGGCCCAGTCACAAAAGGCCTCTTTCGGGAATCCCGTATCGCTCACGTGACCGCCATTAATCTTTTAAACGCTGACGCCACAGCACTTGACATAGTGTGGGTGAGGGATATCAAGTTCAATGTGAATCACATTATGTTTTGTTGTGGAGAAAGAACTAGCAGTTGCAAATTCGACCGACATCTAGAATAAATGACGTCGATGTCGGATTTTTTCATCCCGCACTATTTGTACGAGTATGAAACCATAATGATCTATCGAATGCCTAGAACCCTTAGATGTTTATTCCATATACTAACACGGGCATATTTGGTTTTTGAGGCCTAGTAAATCAGTGGCACTTTGTCTACAAATTGGTAAAGTTTTTGAGAATTCTACATGTGGCTTTGTCGTATCTGCGTATACAGGGTTTGTCCGGAAAGTAATAGGACTCATTTTCTTCCGCCATGACTGTACTTCGGAGCGTGCGCGCACCGACTGGATTCGGTAGAGGGCGTTCCTAGCTAACGAATGAGCGGCTGGTCAGCTGTCTCCGAGCACTTGGAGAATCAGGACAGGCATTTTCGCGCGACGTGTTTCTGTGAGAGATCGCTGATGAAGACCGTGCTGTAAGACTTTCGACTTCGACAAACACCGATAATGTGACTCGTGTGCGCCAAGTTTTGAACTCAGACCGTCGACTAAGTATTCGTTTAATTGCCCAGATGTTAAATTCACCAAAATCTGTGGTTCATGACATTGTGACACAGCATTTGAACATGCGCAAGGTGTGCGCGAAGATGGTCCCAAAAGTGCTCACTGACGACCAGAAATTGCGGCGAGTGGAAGTGTGCCAAGAAAATTTGAACATGTGTGAAAGTGACCCCCAATTTTTGAATAATGTAATCACAGGTGACGAGTCGTGGATCTTTGAGTATGATCCCGAGACAAAGAGGCAATCTTCCGAGTGGCACACGACGGCGACTCCTCGCCCAAAAAAGGGAAGAATGAGCAAATCCAAAGTGAAAACGATGCTTATTGTCTTTTTTGACATCAAAGGCATCGTCCACCATGAATTTGTTCCTCCTGGACAAACCGTCAACGCCAAGTTTTACGTGGAAGAGCTCAGGAGACTCAAACGAAGGGTCAGTCGGTTCCGACAAGACATCGCAGCCGACTGGAAGTTGCACCACGACAACGCCCCGGCTCGCACCGCCTTTCTAGTGAACAGCTACCTGACCAAGGCCGGCATCCCGCTTCCGCAGCCGCCCTACAGCCCAGATGAGGCTCCCCGGACTTTTTTTTGTTTCCTCGCCTGAAAAGACCGATGAAAGGCAAGCATTTTGAAACGACAGAGGGGATCCAAGCAGCATGCACCGCGGCTCTCAAGGCTATTCCGGAGAATGCCCTCCGTGACGCCTTCAATGCTTGGAAATCGCGCTGGCAGCGCTGCATCGACGCATAAGGACCCTATTTTGAAATTTTTTAAAGAATTGTAACGATTGGCTCAGTAAATCGACTCAGTTCTATTACTTTCCGGACAAACCCTGTATGTTTTACTCAGATATATGAGTTTTAAGTGACAATGCTGTTGTATACTCGTATACGACCTTTTCGTCCAGCATCGTGTACGATACTATAAATAGACCCGTCCTCCAACTTTTTGTAGGTATGTCCATTTAGAAAAAAATGTCTCATACAAACAGAAGAGACATCGATCAGACCCTCCGAACAGCATCAAGCATGAATAATGTAGACGGGGCGGCAGCACCCCAAACATGTGAGCACTACTCGAGGGACTTGTATAACGTGAGGAGGTCATGTGGAGAAAAGTACTTCTTAGCACTCAACAAATAGCCTAGCTTTTTCCTAGCAGCTGCCGCTATTCACGAGACATGTTCGTACCAAATCAAGTCTTGGGTGATCTGGAATGGCAGAAAATGGGATTCTAGTGTTTTCTAGATATGCTGTTGCGCCGTCATACCTCGAAACTAGAAGTGACAATATTAAACCATAACAGTTACAACGTTTGTGACCTTCAACTAAGAACTTTACATTATACATTTTCCGCCATCTTAGTCCCCGTTTATGATTCCCAATCAGAACTGGGATCACCACTAAAAACAAGATACGATTTATCATCCCATTTTTCTCGGTTTCAGTTTTGATTTAGGAAGGCACGATGGACGGGCACAGAAAAGTTACCAAAGACGTTTTTTGTTCGGAATGATGAAAAAAATTATACTCAACGTCAACCTCTTAGTTAATGTTAAAGGGCATCAAACAAACTTGATTCTCAAAAAAAAAATGTAATAATTTATTTGCCAAAAAGTACAATTCCTAATGTTGTTACATGAAAAGTAATGCCATGAAAGACAAGTCGAGAGTGTAGCCCTCCTATTTTTGTCATTTGGGTATACGCTATTATATTATCAGTAGATTTGGTAACACATGACGTAGTTCTGCACTCACGCATTGATAAACTTTGGTGGTGGCGTAGAACGACAAATACTAACTTGTAAATAATTAACTATAATAAATTATAAAAGTAGTAAAAAACAGACAAACATATTCAGACGTAACTCACACATAAGGAAGAAGTATTGAGCTACAGCAAAAGCATACATGTGTGTTGGAATGGGTTAAAATAAAATATTAAAATTAGTCAAAAATAAAATGTGAATGAATATGATTAAAATTAGTTGGAATTTTGGGTTGTGAATGGTAGAATAGTAACAAAATTGGCAAAATTAAAGCAACCACGTTGATGGGTGTTCAAAATTATGGTAATCACGAATCAAGAGCAAACTAGAATAAAACTAAAATGCTTGTAAAGACAGTATTTATAATACATGTTGTGAATTATATATATGTAAGTATATAAAAACTATAACAACTCTGACATTTCTCGCTGACTGGTGACTGCATGTTTGAATCGAAAGGTGACAGTGACAATGACAGTGATTTGCCTTCTAAATAATATAGACGATGTTCCTGAGTATACCCTTCACTCATGCTGACATGCTGTTTTTAATCAATTTATACTCAGACGGAATCGCAATGTACAGCTTTGAGCAAAAATAGATCCAGGAGCGTCGTAATAAGGATTTTTCAGGTCTGTGCACCGTTCTTTATAGAAGCTTTTGACGGGTGTCACATCTATGAATGATTTTATCATGGAGTGTTTTATTTCTAAAACAGTATATCAAAGAATTATAAATAAACATTTGTCCATATTTCCAGACTCGTATAGTTCAGCAGGCGGGTGTGCTCTTTCTTGCCATAAGTATTTTTCAATAAATACTTTGATTTCTAACGGCCGTATCGTCAGCCATTCCTACAATTGTAGGACGCCTTCATGGCCTATGTTTTCTTTTTGAATTGGAAACTTCAGGCTGATATCACAGATGATATAAAACAAAAGCACGAACAAATTGTTGCAAATGGATATTTGTAACGTAACCTAGAAATAGATCCCCAACACGGAACAGTAGAAAAATATGAAAAGCAAGGAGACCATAAAGGCGTCCTACAATAATTGTAGGAACGATTGACGATACGGCCCTAAGTCCTTTGAATAGATGGAAGCAGATTCTCTGCAGCCAAGTATTCCATAGCACAAATGCTTAGTATAAGATTCCCGATTAAATCTACATCAAGGATGTTTGTAAAGCAGTTGAATTTTGGAGTGATACATCTTATTTTCTATGTTATTTACTGTCCTGGCATAAATTTCATATGGGCGCGGGTGGCTTTTGTAAGATGCGAAATGAACAAA